GGCAGGAGGAGAAGTACCTGCCAGCTGCCCACTGTGCCCCAACCTGCTGGTAGGTCAGCTCTGCCTTTCCTCCCGCCCCCATCCCTGCTGACTGTCAGCTGGTGCCACTCAACAGGGAGATGGGCATAAAGCCCATACCAGGTGTACAACTAGGCCCAAAGCTACCAAGCCTCTTCCACTCTCCCCACTTCCTGCCTCAGCTCAGCTGGCTGAATCCCCTGCTTAACTGCAGGAGATGAGGCCAGGGCTCATCTTCTCCATGTGCACTTCCTTATTCATGGGCCAAACCGGCAGACATCTGTGTTTCCCCAAACCCAAGCTTTTGGCCAATGATTGCCTTCCTACTGGGGGAAAGGAAAGGGTAATCCCGGGCCGGTCAGGATCCCTCTGTTAAAAGTGTGGTCTGCAAAACAAATTTCAGTGGATAATATGTAAAAGTAAAGATTTAAAAGTTCAAATCATTGAAATATCAGAATATTTTCTGATCTAAATGGAGATAGGGCATTCAAGTCTTACAAACAGTGGGGGAAATTATAGCATAAAAGATCAATCTAGTTTACTATATTAAAAACCAAACTCACTGCTGCCAAGTAGGTCCTTCTACTCATAGCGACCCCACCCTGGGTTTCTGAGGGGGTATCTCTACAGAAGTAGATTGCCCAATCTTCCTTCCGAGGAGTGGCTGGTGGGTTTGAACTGCCAGTCTTCTGATTAGCAGTCAAATGTGTTAGGCACTACATCACCAGGTTACTATATAGAACTGTAAAACTATGTATATCTAAAGACCCCCCCAAAAAATTTTTTAAGTCAAATTTGGAGAAAATATATTTATGCCAAATACGACAGAGAAAGAATTTTCTCTTAAAATAAGAATCTTTAAAATTACAAAGCTCTTAATAGGTAACTATTAGCAATATTTAGCAAATATTTACATAGTATTAACTATGTGCCGGGCACCATTTTAAGTATTTTACGTGTATTTGCTCATTTAATTGTTCTAAACAACTCTATGAGAAAGGTACTATTATTGTTGCCATTTAACAGATGAGCCAGCTGAAGCAGAGAAAGGCTAAATAACTTACTAGTAATGGCTATGACCGCGGAAGCTTCCTGGGCAATCTACTTCTGTAAAGATTTACTGCCCTGGAAACCCAAAGCAGGTCACTATGAGTCAGAATCGTCTCTATAGCAGTGAGTTTGGTTTTTTTGGTTTAATGGCTAGTACATGAAGGAGCTGGGATTTGAACCCAGGCTATCTGGCTCTGGGGCCTGAAAAAATATATATATATATTTAACTTTTTTATATTAAATAGGAAATAGATTTTGAACAGATAGTACATAAAAGAAAATAGAGGTATCTGAGAAACATAAGAATTATTTTTCAATTTAGGTGTTAATTAAAGAAGTACAAATTAAACGGTGAGATACCATTTTTTGTCTTCGAATTAGTAAAGGTTTTTAGACATTATAAAATTAATAAATAATGGCAGTGCTGGAGTAAGGCAGAGACTGCACAGATTGCTGTAGGTATACTCAGACAGCTTTTGTTAAAAGTATTCTGGCAGGATGTATCAGAAGTCTCAGAAATATCCATGCCCTTTGACCAGGAATTCCCATTCTACAAATCTAATTTGAGAAAATAATTAGGAATTTAGACAAATATTCGTGCATAATGATGTCCATAGCTACGTTATACAAAATTATGAAAATTAGAAACAACCTACATATCTGACAGTAGGGTATAGGTTAATCTCCATAATGGACAATTAAACTGCCATTATAAATACATTTGAATAACAAACAATTCCATAAACAAGGTGGAAACTCACACCACAAGCTTCTCTGAGAAGATACTTGCAATGCATGTAACAATAAAGAGTTATATAAACAAAATAATATACAAGGAAAACTTACAAACCAGTAAGTTAAATAACCAAAGAGCAAAATAGGCAAAGAATTCGAATAGGCAGTTCATAGAGGAGGCAACTTAAATGACTAATAAAAAGTCATGGTGCTCCATCTCACTAGCAGTCAGGGAAGTGCAGTCGGAACCAACTCATGGGCAGTGGGTTTAGTTTATCAGGATAGCAAAGGAATCTAGTGGCAAAGATATAGGGAAACCTATGGCTGATGAGATAAATGAGAAAAAAGCACTACAGAGCTATTTGACCATACCTAGAAAAGTTAACCATGTGATTCCCCACTGAGTCACTTCCACTGGTAGGGATCAACCCTGTACAAACATCCTTTTGTACAGGCAGACATGTTCAAGGATGTTCACTGCAGTACTGTTTATAATAGCAATAACGATGATAGTAATAATAATAAAACTGTCCACCAGAAGAGAAATGGATAAAGAAGATATATACATAATAGAGTAGTATGTACAGTTAAAATAAACAAACTAGATCTGTAAGTATCAATTCAGATTTCAAAAACAATGCTAGATTAAAGAGCAAGCTGCAAAAAATACCCATTTGAGTGATTTTTTTATGTAAATTTTTTAAACAAACTGAAAAATTACATAGTATTTCAGACACATATGTAGAAAAATAAAAGCATGCAAATAACATACAGCAGATTCAAAATAGTGGTTACTTTGGGGAGGGAAGATGAATGGATAGGAAGTAGGTCTTACACTATATTTTTACAATTTATTTTTAAAATGGGAAGAGTTGAAGCAAATATAGTAAAACATTAATGTTCTCAATCTGGTCAGGGTTTGTGTTTTTCTGTTAAAACTATTTTCTGTACTTTTCTACATAGCTGTCTCAAAATTTCAAGCATATTACTATTTTTTTTAATTTTTATTGTGACTTGGGTGAAAGTTTACAGAACAAATTCATTTTCCATACAGCAGTTCATACACATTTTGTTTCATCACATAGACTGCAGTTCCCCACAGTGTAACAGCTCTCTTCCCACTTCCTCCCTGTCTTACCTCTTCCCTGTGTCCTTTTTTGCTGTGCATTCCTGCCCCTGAGCTATCTTCCTGTGCAAGCACTGTCCTTCTGTTCTCCCATGTCAAACACATTATTTTAAATTTACTTTTTGAATAATTTGTAATTCCATGGAGAAATGTTTGTGTTACAATGTTAAGGGATAAAAGCAAGATACAGATATTTACACATTTCAAAATTAAAGGTTTGAAAGCAGTAGCTAAAATATTCTTAGTAGTGGGCAAGATTCTAGAAGTCTGCTTTTCTTTCTACTTACCCACATTGTCCATTGTTTCTTTTTTGGCCATGAAGATATATTATTTTTATATGCAGGGGAAAAAAAAAGTTTAAAAACTACAGAAGACAGTAAAAGATCAGTGGTTACCCAGAGGGTCTCTGGAAAGGGAGAAGAATTATTAGGCCGAGCACAGGGCATTTTTAGGGCAGTGAAACTATTCTGTATGATCTTGTAAAGGTGAACATGATGTTATATGTTTGTCAAAACCCATAGAATCATATAACACAAAGAGTGAACCCTGATATGAACTATGGACTTTAGTTAATAATAATATATCAGAATTGGTTCATCAGTTAATAACAAATCTATCATAATTATCAATGCAAGATATTAATAATAGGAGAAATGTAGGGGGAGGGGAGAGGTAGTATATGGGAACTCTGTGTACTTTCTGTGAAGTTTTTCTGTAAAACTGCTCTAGAAAATAAAGTCTATTTAAAAATTAAAAAAAAAAAAAAACATGCTACTACAGAAAATACAACTGTATTTATACATTGTTGTTGTTGTTGTTATGTGCCGTCGAGTCGGCCCGACTCATAGCGACCCCTCCTTGGGTTTCCGAGGCAGTATCACTACGGAAGTAGGATTGCCCAACCTTCCTTCCGAGGAGTGGCTGGTGGGTTTGAACCGCCAGCCTTCTGGTTAAGCAGTCAAGTGCTTTAGCCACTATGCTACCAGGCTCCTAGTAGTTTTAGACCATTTAGACCATAGCAGAGCTCAAAAAACTTAGAGCATGGTGATATGGTAGGGTGGAAACATCATGGGGTATTATCAGATTGATCTCAGCTTGAATGCTGGCTTTGCCACTTTCTGGCTGTGTGACTGTGAATTTGTTCATTCTTTTCTCTTTCAGCAAACACTTATTGAGCACCAGCTACACTGAGTACCAGGCACTGTATGAGGCACTGGAAATGCAGCAGTGTACAAAACATACAGTCACTTCCCTCACAGGGCATATAGTCTGTGAGGAGGGGAAAGTAAACCCATCACCACACAAATCATGTATCACTACAGACTATGAGCCCTTCTGTGTGTAAAGGGCTATGATCAGGCAATTACAAGAATCTAATTTGGATTGAGTGCTCAGGGAATCTGCCTCTGAATGACACTTAAACTGGTATCAAAAGAATAAGGAGGGCTGGAGCCCCAGTAAATTGAGGGCTTTGAGAAAAAGGAAGGCCCTACAGGGCATATGCAGGATCTAAAAGAAGGCCAAGGTTGCCAGAGTGTAATGAATGAAAGTTGTGCAAGGTGAAGCCAGCCAGCGGTCAGGAGCCAGGTCACTGGAAATTGCCTCAGGAAGGGCAGTGGGAAGCCACTGAGGGTTTTAAGCAGGAGAGTGACGTGATTTGCAATTGTAAAAGATCACTTTGATGCTCTTTGAAGGTTGGGGTGGCTGGGACACCACTGGAGGCTGTTGGCATGGCCCAGAGGAGAGAAAATAGTGTGCTAGATCAGGGTGGTGCCAGGGAGATGGAGAGATGTGGAATTTGAAATATTTTTGAAGGTAGAGTCTCGGGAGGTCTTGGTGATGGGTTATATGTGGGGGATGACAGTGAGGGAAGGGCCAAGGAGGACAGACAGATCTGGAGCATGAAGGGCTGTGGGTTGGTAGAAATGGAAACACTAGAGCAAGAGCAACAGGGGCAGGGGTGAAGCAGGGAGAATGAGCATGCCGCTAGGTCTCTCTGCGCTGTGCTAGTTTCATATGTAAGCTGCATTCTCAAGGGAACGTTTCAGCCATGTTGCCCTCTGTTTTACAGGTGGTGTATGCTACTCTTGGGGCTGGAACGAGCATGGCATGTGCGGGGATGGCACTGAAGCCAACATTTGGGCCCCCACGCTGGTGCAGGCTCTGAAATCATCACAAGGACTCCATGTGGGCTGTGGAGCTGGCCACTCCCTGGCCCTCTGCCAGCTGCCAGCCCTTCCTGCACTAGTCCAGGGCCCCAAGGTCATGGACTCATCCCCAGATGCCACTGAAGGTGCTGAATCTTAGGAAACAACGTACAAAGAGTGAAACTAGAAGGAAAGACAATCAAAAGCTTCAACCCAAAGCCAATCTGACAAGTCCAGAAGTGAGGAACTTGTGACAGAACGTTTAATAAAGTGGCTTTTCCCACCAAATATTTTCCCATCGAATTGCTTTGCTGGGTATTAGAGGTGGCTCAGGGGGCCCTGGTGGTTGGGTTGACCACAGACCAGAAAGATGGGATGCTGTTTACTCTGTGTCCAGGGCTCAAGGACCCAGGTACCCTTTTCTGCTCAGCAGATGAGAATGAAGTCTTTGCCAAGAGACATGGAAAGCTAAAACACCAGCAGGAATGCTCCATCCTGTCCCTGCCGGTGGCATCAGAAAATCTAGTCATATCTCCAGTGGCTCTTTTGGTCCAGCAGCATTGGATTCATCAAGACAAAGAGTTCCTAGGCCATGCCTAGAGCAGCCACAGCCTCTTCTAGAGTTTTTTCTCAGAACTCAGAGCATGTAGTTTGCTGACTGAAGAATATTGAGGATGTTCAGATGTCCTGGATAATTAGACAAGAAGGAGCTCTTGTCTTGGTGATACGGGCCAAAGGAGAAGGCTCGGGAGTGGGGGTGGAAGGAAGTGGACATGAGTAAATGGAGGAAAAGACAAGACCTCTGGAAAGACCCAGCAGAGGAGACTCCTAAGACAGACCAAGGGGTCGAGAGCCACTGAAACTCTCAGAAGATTTATGCCTTCATCTGAACCAGGAAAAACTCTAGAACTAGTCTGTATACCAGTAATTGCCAACCTCTGTAGTTTCATATGAAGGTAGGGGATCCTAAGGTCACAGCATGTGGAGAGGAGTCTGTAGGGGTAGCAATATCAAAGGCTGAGAGCTTGTCTTTGATCTGCCTCTGCAGGAGGAGGGCCCTCGAGTGAGATCGGGACCAGGTCAGATCCCAGGATCCTTACTTCCCCAGGTTGCAGCTCTGGCTCTGGGGGACACAGCACCTTTCTTACTGCTGTGACTGGTGACAGGTCTTGACCAGAGGACCTAGGAGAGGCCTTTCTCCAGAGGATAGTGTGGCAGTGTCACCAGCTTACCAGCCATGTCTGTGGCTCATCCCACACAGCCTTCTCTGTGACTCAGAAGAGGTTTTGGGTCTGTGAGGACTGTGCTCCAGTGGCTTTAAGAGGAATTATAGAATCTCAGGACATAAAAGCTGGGAGGTCCTTTCATAACCATCTAAGCCAGTGGCCTTCAAACTGCCTTCTTTAGAGCTCTAGGATTCTCTTCAGACCTCAGTGGCCACTAGGTAGGCTATGGGTAAAGGAAGGCAAACTATCCCACCTTAGTCAAATCAGCTTTATTTATATGTGTATTATATATTGGGCTTCATATAAGTTTTCATTTGATAAGGGGTCCTTGAGAAAGTCTAAAAACCACTGATCTTATCCAACACTTTCATTATTCACATGGGAAGATGAAGGCATAGCAAGAGAAAGGGACCATCTCAAGGCCATACACCTCACTGCTGGTCCAGGGTCCTGATAGAGAAATGACCCAGCCAGAGCCCTGAGCCACTGAAACTCCAAGCCAAACTTACTGCTGTCGAATCGGATCCGACTCATAGCGACCCCTCCTTGGGTTTCCAAGGCAGTATCACTATGGAAATAAATTGTCCAGTCTTCCTTCCAAGGAGTGGCTGGTGGGCTTAACCACCGGCCTTCTGGTTAGCAGCCAAATGCCTTCGGCACTACACCACCAGAGCTCCTGAGTCCTGAACCAGAGGAGTGGAATAGAGTATGGCCCTGGGACCTGGGGTGGGCACAACGCTGGCGTGGGGATGAAGGAAATCCTGACCCCCACAGGCCTGAACCTAGATACCACTCACAGCCATGGGCTGATCTCAGATACCAATACTTAGAATCCTGCTCCAAATCTTGTACCCTAGAAATATGCCTGCCCTGGCCAGCAAAGCCTTTGCCCTGCCCCTTCCCAGAACCAATAGGGGCCAACACATCCTCCAAGCACTCTTGTGATGAAAGAAAGGACATCTCCATGCACTCTGAACTGGTCTTACCAGATGGCCAAACCCACGGTGATGGAGCAATTAGATGGCCCAGAGATGACCCATACTGGAGCAAGCCCAAGATAACTGACCACTCCCCACTGTCCCACAGGCTAGGTGGTCTGCATCACACACACAGTTCAGAAATCAGTCTAACACTGAATAGTGCTCAGGGCCAGATCTCCCATTCAGAGTTCCAACTCACAAAGAATCAACACTCTTTCACAGGATTGCAATATAAAGTTCCCTCCTACTTCTTTCAGCATCTGCTAGAAGAAACCAACATCCCAAGTCCTCGGCTGCTGAGTCCTACTGCTTCTCCTAAGGCTTCCTTGTGGTCACAAGAAAGATGTATCCGGGCATTCCTTCCTATGCTGAAATAGGAATATGTTGCATCAGCCCTAAGCTCTTTGATCTAGAACCTCAGACCCTCAGAACCTGAGTCACATCCTTTTTGGAAGCAGGCTGAGTACAGATAACCTACACATGGAATAATAAATGGCTCTTGGCTCTAGAAGATCCCACAGGTGGTCCCATCACCTTGAGTTTCTCTGTCCTGCCCTTCCCAGCAGCAACTTCAGGTGGAACTGGCATTCTCCAGGTACACCTGAGGAGTGCCCAAAAGTTCCAGAGTGGTGAGGGGGTGTTGATAGTATCTCCAAGTCTTTTCTGGCCCCTCTGATCCCTACTGGTCATTCTCAGACTTGTATTATAAATGACCAACCTCCTCTTTCCTAATAGACCATGAGCTCTTTGAGAGCAAGGAACCAAGTCTTGGTCAGTTCAGGAACACCTTCATCGAGGATGAGTCCTAGTACAGAGGAAGTGCCCAGTAAATGTTTGTTAATGAATGAACAGGTCAGTATATCCTGAGGGTCACTGTGAGGACCCTCATTACTTTAATGAGTGGGTTTTGTGGTCCCTTTACCCCTCCACCCCATCCCCTGCCTTTATCCCTTTTACAAATGTTTGATGACAATGTTGTGGCTTCCAAGTCAATGTCCAATATTATCAACCTGGTTCACTAGTGAACCACAGGAACTAACTTCAGAAAATACCCACTCAGTTTTAAATTACTTTTTTTTTTTTTTCTGATTGATTAAGTGAATTACACTTCACATCCCTCCTGTGAGAAGGAGGAAAGGGAAGGAAGAAAGGAGGGGCATGAGTAGAGTATTCACAGGTCTTTGGCCTGGTCCCTGGGGTGATTGTTGATAGTCGAACCACTTACCAAGGCTCGTGGGATGTTTATATCCTTGCCTACCACACACACTCTCCCCTCCTGAGCACAGCCACCCCATCTTCCCTTGACATACCCACCCTTGGTCCAAATAGGTTGTGAGGCCCACAAGACCAATGTTAGATGAGACTGTGCTTGGTGAATGGTGAATCTAGGTCCAGGATCCACAACAAAGCCCACCCACCATGCCCCAGGCATGCACCACTTCCAGATGAAGTGACTTAGTGATAACTGGGAATTGGGAGTTAGCAAGTTAGTTGGGACATAGCTGCGGTCTTAGAGGGAAGGGGTTCCAGGTGTGTGTGTGTAACTGCTACAAGTTCAGGATATCAGAGCAGCTGGAGCCCAGAGAGTGGGGAGATGGGGAGTTGGAAGAGGAGAAGTGGTGGGGTCTTACAAGCAACCTTAAGAAGCTTAAACTTTATTCCTGGAGCAACGGGGTGTTTAAGTCTGAGAGGGAAAGTCAATGTATGTACAGAAGGCTCAAACTGGGAGCAAATGGCAGGATGTGAAGCCGCCCCATCTGTCACCCATGGCACTTCCTGAAGACGGAGAGGAGGCCAGGCCCCGAGAGGTTCCTGGGATTTAGGACCCACGACTCTGGTGTTCTGATCAATTCTATTCCTAAGGGCCAGGCCCAGGAAGGCCTCAATTAGCTTGAGATAGTTTAACCTGAGCTCTGGAATCAAACCACGTGGGTTAAAATCTTGGCTTCACCACTCACTAGCTGTGTGACCTTGGGCCAGTTACTTTCCCTCTCCCAGCCTTGTTCTCTAAAACGGGAAAGTTGAATTATTTATTGTGAGCTATCATTAGAAAGCATTTATAAGATGTCCACCCAACACATGGTAGATGCTCAGTGTATGTTAATCCCTTTCTCCATTAGCTACCATGTTCCTAAAAACCCATATTCCAAATGGCTTTGTGTTGAATCCCACTTTGAGTACTTTGAGTGTACTTTGAGTATACCAGAGGCATTTCCTTGATAGAGTTTCCTGGATAGAGTGAACATTACCCTTCCTACAGCAGCCAAGGCTGCTTGGCTTGTATATCCTGCTACTTATGAATTGTTGTTACATATTGTGGACCTGATAGCTCTTTAGCCTTATAACCTCTGGGGCAGATGCCTGAGTATGTTCACTGCTCCACTGACCCCCACCCCATTGGTTCCCGGGCTGCACAGGGCACCAGAAAGTTAAGGCAAAATCTTAGTGAGGATGGGGAACTGTTAGATGATAATTGGGCACCATCTTAAGCTTCCCTCTCTGATCATTGACTCAGGTCGTGCTGGAAGTGTCAGGGGATCTGAAATCCTGTTAGTGGGACCTGGGCATATCATTTCCCTCTCTAGCCTTCAGTTTTGTGTCTGTAAAATACTCAGACGTTGACTGACTCATTAGGGTCTCTTTCCACCAATATTCCTGGAATTTCAAAATGGATAGGAAGAGAATTGGAACCCTAATCCCCCACCCTATCCCCCACCCTATCCCCCACCAACAATGTCAAGTGAACAATCCCAGCAAATCAGGATTCCAAGAGATGGCTTCACCCTTTCAGAGATGCCTCCAAACTAAGAGAGGGGCTATAAAATAAGGTGGTCCACCTGACTGGGTCCAGCAAGGGCACAGCTGGGTGGGGTGTCAGACGTGGCAGACAGACCCCTGCCTCTGGCTCCATCGAACTCAAGGATGGCCACAGGAGGGAGGTGACTATGGTCTGCAGAGGAAGCTGGTAGCTCTGACATGACCAGATTCAAGGATTCATCAATATGGCATGATTCCATGGAGAAGTGGCTATGCCCAGAGAGCCACTCTATAATGGTCTTAGGGTCAGGTCTTTGTATACCCC